CAGACCACCAACCAAAAAAAAAAAAAGCCAAAAAAATCACCCCTCCCCCGACAATCACCAAGTAGTGTCTCAATTGGCACATTGAACCATGTTCACGTGCTTTTCAATGTTCAGACCCCTTTGTCAGTCTCAACCAATCACCACTTTCCCGCCAAGCGTCCCAGTCTTCGGCATCCCATTTTCCACGAGCAAAGCACTCATGCACCAACTGGCTCAAGGTTGGACGGCTTCTCCCTTTGTCAATTCCTTCTTGGTCTATCACTTGCACTCGTTCTAACTTAAGCGAACTTTCCATCTTAAGAGACGCATTCATACGTTTACTTGCTTACCGCCCCTCGTAGCGATTTACAAAAAAAATCACTGTCATAGGCTTAGAAGTCGTTCGCATTAAAGCGTGCCGTTAGACACAACAGCGAAGTCAACTAGCACAGTATGGGCGGCATCCCTGGTAGCAGTGCTTTTTCGCCATCAGGGACCACAAAACTAGCCCTACTGACTATACTAATCATAACTGTACGAAGAAAAAGCGCTCTGATTGAACACGTTGCTGGTTTGTGTAAGGTTATCTGACAGGTCCCATGGTCATATACTACTACTGTAAACACTGGCATTGGGTGCGTTGAGGACGGAGTTTTGAGGACGAAGATATCGTGTCGCCTGTCAAAGTCAAAGTTTTGACGCATCCGTTAGGGAGTTCACCACATGTTTAACTTGCAGTGGACCCATGCGATGCGATTCTGCCCTTCGTCAACATCATAAGGCACAGGCCAAAAGCCACCATGGGAAAGGTCATGGGATGGCGGTCCTGAAAAATTCCAAGTTGGTATTGTAATCAAGCACTGCGGCGGATTGTTTCTGGGCATCACCTTCACTTGACCGACCAGCCTTCCCTCCGCCATTGAGCCAGTCAATGGGGTTCAAGTAAGATGTGGCTTGGAATCGCCATGTCCTTGGCAGGTGCAAATCTAGCCCTGTGAGTGCTGAGATCGTCCAAAGCTGGACAGTGTGGCCATGCTGCAACTTGAATCTTACCGAGCTTACTCACCAGAGGCAAGTTGTGACTGACATCAAACGGAGTGGAAGGGCTGACAACTTTGGAACTTCGGTCATCGTGTCCTGATCGAGAATTGTTGCATTTTCTGGGCTCGGGGCATCACAAGCGCAAAGGTAGTGAGCAAAGCAGCTAGAACACCTGGCGGTTGCAGCCGGTGAGCCCACAGCCCTGGTCATTGAAGTCAGGAGCGGCGAACGGCATCACTTCGAATTGCAAGGACTGCACAAAGCAGCGGCAACTAATCACAAGTGGCATTGGCCAGAGTGAGAAGAGGACGGTCGGACAGACTGCAACGCAAGAAGATGTTCTACGAGATGTACCAGAGGCCATGGAAGCAGCGCCTGTCCCATGAGCAAACGAATCTGTGCCATAGGGCAACCAATGTGCTGTAGCAGCCGCCGGTCTTCCAACACATGCGCAGAGCTGGAAAAAGAAGAACCCGGCTTCTGTGAACGGGCGCACATAGGAAGAGCCCGTAGTTGATCGAGCAGTACGGGAGGCCTTGAAGCAAAGGACTCTCGCAGGAGCGCGAAAATCCAGCTCGCAGGGAGACTGAGTAAGGCATGCACCGTGCAAACTGGCGCCGAGCATCACCAACCACACAATCGCGATGCCAGCAATCTGCTCCGACCTTGTTAGAATCACTGACACGGAACAATCCGACAAAATACACGGGACGCGTTTGGGACGGATGGTACTGCGCACCAACCTAGCAATCGACCGTAACCAGATGTGAACCATGCCCTGACAATCTCTGTGATTTGTGATTGGGTATCTCGCTTGGCTTGCACCAGCTCCTTCATCACCTCTCCGTAGCTCATGACCACCTCGCGAATCTGCCACCGAAGCACCGACCGCTTTTCTTCAGTGGACGTGGCATGAACATCTGCAGATTATTCGAGCGCTAAGCTTCTGCGGTGACTCTCGTTAGTCTATCACTGACCGACTGCAGCTCTGCCTCCGGGCCCTGCTGTGGGACATCATCTTCGGCAGCTGGCCCTTACACACAAGGGCCAGATTTGGAGATCGTCGCGGCTATCAACTAGGAGGAACCTATAAGTCACCAATCCCGCGGCTTACAATATCCTCGCCGCCACGGACCCACCGAATTCTTGAGAACGCTTCGACCGCACAACACTGGAAAGCTTACTACCAGTCACATCCTTGTCTGGAGTGGGGGAATCCATGCCGACAAGAGCAAACCCGGCACATTAAGCTAGAGCTCGCCTACAACTCTTAGCTTCTGTGGCTAATATTGCCAAGCTCTGCACGGTGAGCCAAAAGCTCTCTCTCCTCCGAGACAGGTTGAGGGTTGAAACATGCGCTGCAGCGAACCAGTCCTCCAGCCTGACCCAACAGAAGCCAGCATGTTGCATTCTATCGCAAACCACCCGCACGTCAAGAGTGACGTGTTGGTACCCAACCAAGAAGCAGGTCATCATTTACTTGACAGCAAGACCGTAAGCGCACGCTTTGAACATCAAGCTGCCAGAGAAACAGTGCATCAGCGGGCAATCTTCGGCAAAAATAGTACTTAGGCGTAGAAGACACCACGTCTACCAAGGAAGCACAGTTCACACCACGCTGGTCCACAACAACGGATCGGGGATGCACGGATCGGGGACGACAAAGGTTCGACATCTCAGAAGGAAGGCAGCACAAGCATCTCGTCAAAAGCTGAGCCTCAGCTGCAAATTACCCTTGGTGCCTTCATCACCGATGTCTCTTCACGAAGGGTGTTAGCAAAAGAACACATTGAGTCGTGGATACTCGTGCATGCCACATGCAACTTGAGTTTCAGGGTGAGTACATTCAGATCGAGGGCGCCACATATGCCACATATCTGAAATCTCAGAAGGAAGGCAGCACGAACATCTCGTCAACAGACAAGCTTCAGCTGCAAATTACCCTTGGTGCCTTCATCACAGTCATGACAGGCGCCAGGGGTGGAGGTTACAACACAATGCCAGACAGCAAGGCAGCCCCGTTCAGCGCCACATGGTCTCGAACACGACAGGTTCCATATCTCAGAAGGAAGGCAGCACAAGCATCTCGTCAATAGATAAACCTCAGCTGCAAATTACCCTTTGGTGCCTTCATCATCGATGTCTCTTCACGAAACAACAAGGACGTCGACTCGTGGATGCCACATGCAAGATTGCTTGCGTGTATATATATATATATACATAACTAGGGGGAGTGCGTTCGGTGCCACATGTCTGAAATCTCAGAAGGAAGGCAGCACGAACATCTCGTCAAAAGACAAGCTTCAGCTGCAAATTACCCTTGGTGCTATTCATCACCGAATTCACTCCACACGAGGCGCCAACAATCCAGCACACAAAGCTGCGGACCTTTTGAAGAGCACATGCAAGATTCAGGGGCTTTGCCGGCTTGCGCTGTCTGCTTTCTTCTGAAAATCCCGGGATCCTGATGAGGCTGCATACTTGTTGTCCAAGGCACTTGGTGCGTTGTGGCATTGCAAAATAAAATCCGCACAGCGATGGGTGCCAGCAGTTGGCATGCTCTGGCCTGGCATGCTATCGGGACAGCGGCCTCCCAGATATCCTTCACATGCGCCGCAACACTGCCATGCAGTGCCGTGTGGTTTTCCCCAGTTCGGCAAGTTTCATCCGCTCTGGCCCAGAAGCCGAGAAGCCGGAGAAGCTCGCTAGCCCCGACAGTGGGACATGCCGTGCCCTGAGCGTGATGCACACCGGGGGTGATTCCAACTGCCGCACTAGATGCATCGTACTGCGCATGGTGCCAAACCCGTGGCAAAAATGCAACGTTGGATTCGCCAATAGTGACTGTCACGCAGATGGGGCCAGCAATTGGAACAAGTCTCCGACATTGTCGGACTTTACACGAAGTCTTCACGGGTGCAAGCAGCGGGGACTTCGTTGAAACCCCTTCACCATGGCCTTGACAGGAACAGGTTGGCCTTGCGCCCGTCGTGACCGGGGTTTTGGGGGATTGTGGATGTTGTACACAAAAGCGAAAACCAGGCCCAAATGACAGGAAACTTAACAAAACAATCCTCGTCTGCTCATAGGCCCTTTCTCGGCAAGGTGAGTGCTGATAAATCAAATCAAGACACCGAGAATGCCACTGGTGTAACATCTCAGAAGGAAGGCAGCACAAGCGTTTCGTCACAAGACGAACTTCGGCTGCAAATTACCCATTGTGCCTTCATCACCGAATATGCTTCGGCAACTCTGATGAAAATCAAGCGTAGAAGACGCGACGCCGCATTGCAAGCGAATCACTACTAGCGCCAATGTCACAGCAACATACGAAGACTCCACAGGTTCGACTTCTCAGAAGGAAGGCAGCACAAACATCTCGTCAAAAGACAAACCTCAGCTGCAAATTACCCTTTGGTGCCTTCATCATCGATTGTACTGCACGTTACTTCCCTCATTTCATCCCAGGTGGCCCTGATGCACTCGAACAGCACTTGCACTGCAGCATCGCAACCGCCAAAGCAAAGCAGTGCTTCTGACTCGAGTTCCTTATGATCCGTGTGTTCGGCACACACGCGTGAACATGATCATGTTAAGTCCGCGGAGTGCAGTCCTGCTTGAGCTGCTTGAGGCCTTTAGAGCCAGTGCGCCACAAAGCCAGGCCTCTTGCACTCTAGCATGAAGCCAAAACACCAATTTGCCAGTGTGACCGCATGCTGAGGATCAAGCAAAGAGTGGAGCAAAGCAGCGTAAGCAGGAGCCATGAGGGTGACGTGCGATTTACCAAAACCTCACATTCGATTGGCCTCTGCCATGTACCAACGGCAACAATGCACCACTGGTCGTCCAGGCTCCCGGCACCAAGTGTGACACCAAGGCAGAGCATAGGAATGAGGACAACAATGCAGTCCTTGGCATCAAGCACTCAGCCTAGCGACGCTATCTATGCGAACTTGACAGCCTCCTTTGCTCTTGTTTTTGTGCCAAGGTTCATAGTCGATGACTGGCAGCTCTGGGAAATCAGGGTGCCTACAAGGAGGCGCGGCGATCATGACAATAAGCTGGCATGATCCAAAGGAAACTCCAAAGGAAACAACAGCCGGGATGCCTTCTGGCCAGGAAGACGGACAGGTTCACGATGGAGCCCACCTTCGCCGGACCCCCGTTCTTCCATAGCGATGCATTGACAAGTGCAGTATTTTTGGGGCTCCGACAAGAATCATAAACTGAGACAAAGCAACTACGGCGGATTCCTTCCACTCGAAACAAGGCACATCATGCACATCTCCATCCTTGTTGAGTTCAAGCAATACGGTCTGCATTCTAGCCCTATCTTGGTCCTGTAGATAAGAGAAAGAGATCAAGACCGGAACGAAGATGCTTCCACCGCCGGTTCCGGATGCCGCAGCCAAAGCAGAAGACCTACCCAGCGCGTCTGTTAAGAACCCTCGAGGCAATTCATGCACGGAAACCGCTGGGCGGCTGGCACCAGGATCAGAAGAGTGCAGAACTTCCTGAGCATGATCATGACTGATGTGATCAGTCTGCTGCAAAGTTTTCAACTGTGATGGTTGCACAGCCTTCATTTCATCAATGGTTATGGTGTCTGTTCGTTTCGGCAGAACATGGCAGAACCACAACAAGTTGAGGCAGGACTTATGCCCATGAAGGAGGTTCCTCGCGGCTTTGCAACATTGGCTGCAGAACCCTCTCTGGCTGTGCTTCCAAAGCTCTCGCTGCTGTCAAGCCAGGCGGATTCCCAAGCCTGCCACAAGCACTGCCATGATAAGGCCCTTGGTGGAAACTCTACCTGTGACATTTCTCTCTGGAGATACGTACTTCTTGCTCAGGGTCCTTGCTTACTTCCGCACGGCACATGTTGCACCCGTGTGAGCATGTCGCCCTGCCGAACAAATGGGAAAGTCTTGTATCCCGTTCTGTCCATCGTGGTTTCGACATCGGGACTGTCAGGTGATCCAATGGTGACCACATTGGTGACCCACATGTCAGAGATGCTGCTGGCCTTTCGACCAGTAGCGCGGCAAGTTTTACCGCCACTCCTGCAGAAAGAAAGGGGTCCACTCGAAATTGCACTATGCCTCTCTGATTGCGATCAAGCGGCATGCTGAGCGCACACTGGTGAAGCGATGGGCATTCAGAGTCTTCTGTGCAATGTGCACACAAACCCTGGCGCAGGACCGAAACGTGACAACTGGAAAAAATCGGTGGAAACACTTTGGCTGCAGCCACTCCGTGGCGCACGGAGCTTGTGAAATTCGTTCGAAGGTTTTTGACATCAAGGCGCACCTTCCGGCACACGAGATCTCCGCATTGTGTATCAGCCTCGCAAAAATTCGGCAGTCTTCCCAGTCTGACACTCTATGAGGCGATGTCGGTTCCTGTTCCGTGGAGCACTTCCTTCCTTTGATCACACCCCGCAAGTCGCTCCAGTCCAACCTGAGCTTGAACCATCTCGCCAAGACCATGGCAGGGAAGTCTGCACCGAGGAAACGACACATGTTTCGGGTGCTTCGCGTACCCGAATTCGCCAAGCCTTTGTTGACAAGATGGCAGAACTTACACGACACATGAGGTCATCGAAATCTAGAACGCTTGTGGTCACGCCAAAGTCGAGGAGATTGAGGATCCAGCTTGCTTGCGTTCTGGCACAGCAGGGTTCATCTCTAGTTGTTGCTGTTCTTGTACAGGTAGACCAAAAACACTTCGTCACACTCTGAATGCATTGCACTGCTGATCAGCCTGCACGATGGGGCCAAAGTCGCTTTTGGGCGACAACACGTCCTTCGCATTCCACTTCAATCGCATTCCACTTCAATCGCGGCGTCGCTAAGAGGTGGCCTTATCATACCGTGCACTTTGTGAAATCAGAATGTGGCTGCTGCTCAGAAGGTGATGTCCTCCGGTCGGCTGCCGTTGATGAGGACCTCTACCTACAAACAAGGGAATTTATCTCGGAGTACTCTTCGGCAGTCATTCGCCGACGGGGCTAGAGGGCCCAGCAAGTTGAAAGCTCAGATTCGCTCAGCTTGCAATCGGACCATGAGAGATTAACCCACGGATTAAGCCCAAATAAGAAGATAGGAAGAGTTGTGACGGAATGCATCATCAGCAGTGGAATACTACGATGCTGCGGTCGAGAAAAGTTCTTCAATTGCTGATACCTCCCTGCCTCCCCGTTACCCTCAACAGACATCGAAAGACTTTCCGGTTGGCAACTTCTGTGCCAAAACCTTGACAGCGGCCGGGCTGTACCAAATTGTAAACCGGCCTCTTTAATCCCCTACAGCAAAATAGTCCATATCGGTAGGACATAACGACCTTCTGCGGGCTCTTACGCACAGAGCATCTTCTGATGTTGGGACATGCTGGAGTTTGCCCGGTGGCAGAGCCTGTGCAGACGGCAACGGATCTGGAGCCAGCTCCTGACATTCGACCGGAAGTGTCAATCAATGTCCATGTCCTTTGCAGATTCTATGAATGAAACCCGAAACTAACTAGCCAGGGCATGCCCGCATGGTGTTTACGAGTTTCACAGATCATGACAATCCTTCGCTTTGGGTTTGGCTTCTGCGGCCGTTAACACCAGCACCAGAAGCAAGGCCGCTGCCATGCCTGAGAAACAGGAGCGCGGTGACATAACCAACGTGATACTTTCCGCTGCGCTAAATACGCATCATGACTTAGATTTGGACTTGTCGAGCGGCTTGGTAAAGTAGTAGTGGGCAGCCCCAGCTGCTTCCACGATCTACCTGCGGCCAGAACATGAGACGTTCCAAACATGCGGAGCAACTGTCCCGACAATCGCCGGGCCTCTGCATTAGAAATGGAACTCCGCGCCCACAGATTGAATGTGGCTTCCCGCGGAGCGTCTATTGAGCGAGCCAAACCCAAGGCAGTGTCTTCCTACTACATGCCGCGCTAAAGGAAACGGTCAACACATATGTCAGAACCTACACCAGCCATGTTGCCGATCAATGCTTGGGACGAACCATTTTGCCGATAGGTTGAATCGACATTGTTGGCAATCTCTGGTGCTGCGTGACAACTCACCTGGGCCATTAGCAGTCGAGTTGAAAACGTTCGGCCTCGATGCCCCCCCACCACCCAAAGCGAGCAAGCTGGCTGCACAGCATTTCGGTTTTGTCTTACCCAAGGCTTCTCAAACTTTGAAGGACTAAACTTCGCCGAAGCCTCATGGCTTCTTGGCCGATTCACAAAATCACAGCTGTCACAGCTGAATGCACCTCACACACATGTCGCCTGCCTCATGTTTCATACCTCCAATTTAGAGCCCCGAGATCCAGCCATCAAATTCGATGCATGCAGCGAGGGCTCAGCTAAACGAAGCAATGCAAAAATAATCAGGGAAGCCAAGCTGGAAACGCCACTGTGCGAGCTGCTCCGGTGCAAGGACGAGGGTGGGAGAGGGATCCTCTGCAAACCCGCCTTTTTGCTCTTGGAAGATCAAAGAGAGCACGATACTAGGATAGAAAACCGACAAGGAATCAAAGTGTAAAGAATCGGGTGGCAAAGCCCAAAAGCAAGACCACAATTGATGGATGCTGGAAGGGAGCACTTCTGTCTGTTAAGTTCCAGGCTCGACTCTGACCCCCCGAGTTGTTCGAAACAGCCGTTCAGAAGTGCCAGTGCACCAGCGGCATGCATGTTCTGTGCGTGTGCCACGGTCTTTCGCCCTCACTGCCTGCTTCGCCTGTTTTCTTTTCGGATTTGCAGGTTACGTCTGGTCGGAGGTGATGAACTGCCAATTTGTTGGCCGACCCGCCCCCCCCCCCCACCCCGCCCGCCCCATGTTTAAAAGCGACTTGAACTAAGG